TTAGGCCCAAAGCCCGTTCGAGCAGAAAGGTCGTTTGCGCGTTTCATTTTCAGTAAATCTTTTAGTTTTTGCAAAAACATGTTCGTTGCAGACACATATTTTTAAGTAAATCCATCATATTTGCACACATTTTTCTGTTGGCAGCAAATGTACACTTTTTATGTGGCGTGTGAGACATAGTTCTTCGGACTTCATTCTTTAAATGCAATGTTGCTCTGGTGAATGCCATTTTGGTGCGGAGACTGATTTGCAAGCAAAAGCAGCTCTAACAAAGATCATTTCAAGAATAATACCTGCTTGCCCTTCTCTCAATGCGTTCAATTCCATACAGCATGAAAGGGTGTGTTTTTTCCACAACAAGATGCATTTTTCGATAGAATGCCTTAGGTAAAACACCTGCACCCAAATGTAACCAAGTGTATTTTGAATGAGAGCAGGTGCGAGGTAGTTGGATGCTTTAAATCATTTATGCCAAGCTGCAAGAATTCACCTACAGGCAGGACGGTATTTTTGCTTAGAAGCAGGTGAGCAATTCTAGAGGAATACATTTTATGTAGGAAAGCATCAAATGCATCGAATTCCAACCAGTTATTTTTAGAAAACGACACTTGATACAGAACTAGATCTGGGAAGAGCCAGATCTGTGAACATTATCTCTACAGTTTGTTCATTTTTGAACAGAGGGGTGTCAGGGTGTCACACTAAGCGTGGTGAGAGCAAAGGGCAGGACGCAGACGTCTAATCCAGAAAAAAAAAAATCATACCTATGTTTGAGGCACCAAACTTAGGACATATATAGGTCTGATTTGTTTCTTTTTGTTTTGTTTGCAGAGGGCAAGAAGCAGAGGTCTGATCCACGACGCCAGAAGACAAAAAGACCAACAAACCAAGCCTTGGCCTGGTCCAGACTGGATCATAGGTTTGTGTGATGTGCATACATGTTTGGCATCTTCACCCCTGGTAGTTGCGCAAAATGCAACATGTTCCCATAATCCTAGGTACCAGGGAAGGACCTATAATATATATATATATATGCCCAGGCGGATTCACTTGAGACTTGAGACCGTGAGCGTTTTCTCACTCGGCCGCTTCAGACAGTGAGAGCTTCTGCCCATTGTGTGAAGAGCTTTCGTCTACGCTCATTCACAGTTTTTCAAGATGTCCGAAGCCACCCTGGTACACGTAGCACCTTGAGATACACATGTACACGCATGCAAGCATCTTGCCCACCCCCCCCAACCCCCTTGAAATACACGTCAAGATGCACGACGGACCCTCTGAAAAAAAAGGGACAGCTCTGATTTTGAAATTCCACGGTGTTATATGTACAAACGACAAACACTTGTGCGGTAACAGCGCGCTGTTGTCGCACAAAATGTTCGACATGTATCGTAGCAAAAACACGTAAAATACATACTATATAAAAGTATATAAAAGTATACATGATGCAGTTCGTACCACTGTCTTAATTAAATCCGTTTGGATATGTACATAATATAACTATATAGATATATACTACATGTGTCCAATAAGCACATTCAGTGTGAATCTCTGGCTGAAGCTTGTAGATGACTGGACAGTCGGAACACCTGTCATTGATCAGGACGCAGCTTTTGCTGCTGCTGTCCTTCCGGAAGCAGCTCACCACACCTTCTTGGAGAAGAACAATCGACTGAACACCACACCAGAGATTCAGGCAAGACTGCATTGTAGTATTTTCAACTGTTTGCCTTTTCTAGCCGAAACTGTCCTTTGGCAGTTTGATTTCATTCAGCAACACAGAAGCAGGATTGGTTGCAAGAGCGGCCAGCACAGTCAAATTGTTGGAATTCTGAAGCAACGGCTTCCGCTTTTGCTTAGTAGGACGATGTTCGGGAGGTGGATGCCTGAATCCTAGCCTTTTCCAAGATGTGTGTGTTTCCTTTTGAGCAGCGGAACTATTGTCTTGGATACTCACGTATCAAAGCCATTCAAAGGGTAATTACTTACTAACATGCTGCTTGTTGCAACTCAGGTCAAGGATAATGCAGAGGCTACATATGTGTCACAGGTGGGGACAAACTTTATACAGAGACATCTGGATCTTGGATACACCTCAGGAACAACTTCGGAAGACTCGATTGTGGGGAGCTTGTCATTTCTTGGCGACGGCAGATTGAAGACAAAAGAGCAGGAACAAAACGACCGACGCTTACTACATGTCGATATTAGGCAGGCGGTGATGAGGGTTGGTGGAGATCTTAAGCTGGCAGAGAAGAACCACATGTTTACAATACTTGCAATGGGTATCAGTATTGCAGTTGCTTCTCATCAGCTGTAAATAGAATGGCACGCTTTTGGTTGGAAAAAGTTCATTACTAATCTCCGAACATCAGCTTGGGGACCTGCTTCCAGGTGAGGTACTATCTGCAAAGAAGACATCTCGTAGGCTTCAGGTGGGGTTGTAGTGCAGTTGGCAACCTGACAAGATCTTTTGTTCAAAGGACAAGCTGAAGCGCCTCTCCAGCAAAGCACACAAAACAAGGACTGCGCAGAGGATCAACAAAGTTTGTTGAGTGTGTTGGTCAGAAGATCTCTGCAGCTTCAGGAAAAGGCTCTCCAGCTCCTCTTTGAGCTTATCTGACAGCAAGGCAGGAATAATGACAAACAAGGAGTTCATGTGTGCGTGGCAAGAAATGGACATGGACATCCCGGTGTTGCATCATTTGCAGGTCCAGCAGTTTCTTTTGGACTTTTGGGATTTTGGACAACAAAGCTGGAGCCAATTTCCTTCCTATGTTGCAATGGGGTGTCTTTCTACTTCTTTGTTCAAGCCTGATAGGCCTGATAGGTATGGTCAGCCAGGGCAATCGTCCAACCTCAGATAAGAACAACTTCAAAGCAAGGAATTGAGCACACCCTTAGCATGCGATAGCTAGTTCAGACAAAACTATACACACAGCCTTGGCCACTTGTGGTAAGTATACGACAGCCCAAGCAGCCTCCTGCAGAGCGGCATGATGGCAAAGTTTTCCAAAGAATAACATAATATCTTTGGGCCCCTTTGATAAGGCCCCCTTGGAAAACGGCACTTGGAGTGCTGCCACTTTGAGATGGAGGACATGTGTTTGTCGTGAATGATGTTTCTCTTCTTGTGATTTTTGGTTCTACCTGCTGCTTCTGCGCCTTTTAGCGTTTGTGGCTTCTGTGGAGTTGAATTTTGGCTTCGGTGACTTCTGTGGCTTTTGGCTTCTATGGCTTCTTTGGCCTCTGGCTTGTGTGACTTCTGTGGCTTTGGGCTTTTGGTGGCTTCTGTGGCTTTTGGTTGCTTGTGTGGTGTTGGGTTGGTTTTTGATGGCTTGCTTTTCGTGGCTCTCCTGGATTTCGTTGGAATTTGATAGGTAGGTTTTGATAACATGTTTTTGTTAGCAATTTTCAGCTTTTTGGTAGCTAGGCATTTGGCTGCCCCTCCCCCAACCCCCCTCCAGTTTTTTCAACCAAACCTACAGACACTCAGCGACGGCTGACCTAAGGGCAAGCTCAAGAAGTTTAGGGCAGGGAGGACCCCTCGCCACCACTTAAAAAAACAGAAACAGTGCTTTCCTCAGAGGTACCAAGAGAATACACTGCTGGGAACTTTCCTAAGACTTCATAATTGGGGGCCACCTAGCAAAACCCCAAACAAATCAACAAATATAAACTGGTGCCAAAACAATCCAAGACTGAGTGCCGATAGTCGGCCTGACTAAACCTGTACAAGTCCAGTGCATTTGTTCAGACTGGGGTGGCGATCAGACCCTAGATGCCCATCGTTTCACTACTGTTCAATTGAGTTTCCCAAAACGTCTACGAGCCAAATCAATCATGCAAGGGTTTAAGCTACTACTTGGTCACTTGATGTTCCTTAGGCTTACAGCTCACACGTTAGCCCACCGTACGGTGTCCCCCGCCCAAAAAAGAGGTCTTGGACTTCCTTCACTCGACAGCACGGTCTGTTGTGTTCAAGTTGGACAGTTCCACATGGAGAAGGCACATGACTTTGGCACTTCTCCACCTTTGGACTCGGTCTCTAGGCCAAGTTGGAGTCCGAGTCCTGCGCCCAGAGCGTGTTATGCTTTGTTTGGAAGCTATTGTTGGAGGAAGTAGTCAGGAATTGTGCATTGCAAGGCCCAACGCATCGAGGCAAAAAGCTCAGCTCAGCCATGGTTTGCAAGCTGACCACTATATATATATAAATATAACTATATATATATATATTGTATAGAGTCCAGGTAGCATTCGCTAGCCATATTGGCATATGCAGAGCTTTTTCTACGCATAGCTGGAGGCACAGTTTGGATTGGCAGCGTTGCATGTAGAATGAGATTGCGTTCACGCGAAAAACTAAAACAAGAGCTAGGGTGGACAACCGGACAACCCATCAAACAGTATCCCTTGGAAGATCTTTGAAGCAAGTCAGTCCAGGAAAACCAGCATTGGTTAATGTATGACATGGAATCGGCCCAAGATAGGGATGTTCGATACAATTGTGGTTAACATGACATTTGCACATGGGACTAAAGCCACAGGCACTTGGTTTTGGGAGCTTTTGCACATTACCCTTCGGTTTTACTCAGTTAGAAAGTACGGGGAAGCTGCACTGTCGAGGAAGCTTGACTCGATGGTGAAGAAAGTTTCAAAGGTCAAAGCAGAAGGGGGTGGAGGCACGATGATTGACTGCGCTACGGACACATTCCTGATTGGCCTCTTTTGCCAGGTGCCTGCCTGTATGCAGGATCTGTGAGCTTTGTGGCTGGCCTCAAAGAACAGGCGCTCCTTCAGTACCACGAACTTGGCTCTCCATTACAATTGTGGTCTTCATTTGGCAGGTGGTCTTGATGTCAGCCTTCTCCAAGTACAATGCCAGTGGCACAGGGCTCTTAGACCAGGCTGGAAATATCATTGCATAATTTGTCTCAAACTTGCCAATGCTGGAGGCAGAGGTCATGGACTCTTTGGAAGGACTTGGTCTAGCTCCCAAAAATGAGACGGAAAGGGAGGAGGCACCTTTCTCATGGTGGTCTTGTCGAAGACCAGATTTCAGGCGGAAGATTTTGAGCCACATTGGCAGTCTTGAAGGTATCTGCTATCCTGCTCAACTTTGAGAAGCTCCAATTCACTCTTGATGAATACTGCAATGAGGCGTCGCGTCACTTTAAGCAGCATGCATACTTACGAACAAGATCTAAGACAACTTAGAGCCTTAGAGCGTAGTCGCCTGAATGAACCGAAGCTGCTCCTCGCAAGATACCAAGATGCAGAGAGCAGTGGCATGCTGTTTTTTCGATAGGTAGTACCGATGATTCGTCAACAACTAAAGGAGTTGCGCGCTCAGACACAGGCTTCCCAAGGAACAAGTTTAGAAGTTTGGACACTTGGAGGCTCAGACGTCCGCACTTGGCAAAGTTGTTCAAGAAGGTGTGGTCTATCCTATCTTATCATTTTACAAATATATATAATTACTGACATTTACTGTCGTATCGCCAAGCGAATAACATTCACACATTCACGCAGAGTAGCTTATGTATCACGTTCATTTCAGTACATCTTAGTGCCTCAGTTTGATACCTACGAGCGGAGCAAACTGTCCATCTCGGAGATCATGAAAGACGTGCTGATTTATGGCCTCGACGTCTATGAGGACAGGAGAACCTGCAGAGAAGGCCAAGCTGAGGGAATACTTAATACTGTCAATCGCTCCCTCTCATATACAAAATATTGTATCCAAAACATTTCATGCTTAACACAAGATGTAAAAAAGGTCAGTACCCATTGATGTGCGTGTGATATTTGTTACATTGGCCACTGTTGAGGAATCCTTGAAGATGGCACTGAAAAGTTTTGCGCAAAGGCGACTGCTGGTCTCTTTAATGCCAAGATTCGAAGATCAAAGACTTAGTTTCTGGGCAGGACAGGCCGAAGCGAGAAGCTGTTGTCTGCAGGGCTTGCCACGCCAGTGGCCGAGAATTTGGTAGAATTTGCATGCGGGTCTGCTGTGTACGAGAAGGTGGTACATTTGTATTTGTGTGGACAGTTGTCGCAGGCTCGATGAGGATGCCTTTGTAGACTTTCTTTGCCTGCAGCAGGCAAGAATAAACTATGCTAATCCCTTCACTTGCTGTTCATCATTGTTCTATTCTCATATCATATCTGCTTTCTGAAGGAGCTAGCAGAGCAGGAGCGAGTCTCTCGCTTCGAGGACCTTGTGAACAAGCTGAGCCTTTCGCAGGAAGAGCAGGCAAGCTTTTTCATCAGCTTCTTTCCTCCATTAGAAGAACTGTTAATGTAAACTAGTGTACACTGTTGCTTTATAGATAAACTAAAGTTCTTTCAAACTGAAATCCCTTAGATACAACCATGCAGGAGCTTTGGAAGCACGATTTAGTGAGCTGGGAACTGCGATTTCATGAGTGCCCCACTAGGCCTTGACATCCTTTTCAGAATCTTTAAACACATCCATGCATGTAAGATACCTCCATGACTCATCATGACTCTGTGAATCTGGCACTGTTCAAGAGTTTACCAAATGGGGTCGAGGATGATCACGGTTCAAAATAAGACTAAAGATATCACTTCCTTGAACACTCCCCTAAGGTTGCATTGCAGATAGTCAGGTTTGTAGCAGGACCTTTGGACTCGAATGAACAAAAGAACAGCGGGACAGGGACATGATATATATATATATATGGTACCCCCCCAAATGTCGACCTTTATATATATATATGTGTGTATAGTTAATTCTATGTTGATTCCGAATTTAGGTTTTATTAATTCTATATTAATCTTAATTACGAAAGCCAGCCGATAGGCGTGGCTGGAGGCTTTGTGAGCGAACGAAGTGAGTCCCGGGGCAGGGGTGCCCAAAACGTAAGAAACTGAGAGGGTGAACCTTGAGCCTGCTAGGGGAGAGCGACCAAAAGTGAGGGTCAGAAAGCACTGAAAATGAGGTAAACATGGGTGCATGGTGATGCAAGTGATGCAATTGACGCCGATTGGTGCATCATTAGCATCATCAAGGGCTCCGGTGAGCACTTTTCTTGCCTCGGACGGGCTGCTGGGAACGGTGAGACACGTCAGCTTGCACGAAAAGGTATGAGGCTAGTTGGGTACAAACCTAAAGCATGCACACCAAAACCTTGGACATCGCTTGAGTCAAGCCCTCAAAAGCCAGGATATCGACATGTCCTGGCCAAGCATGCACGACAGGGCAATTTACATTCGTTGTTGGACTTCAATCAAAGAAGCTATATAGATGGTATTGACTGGAGCAGCAAAGCAGGTAAAACATACCCTAGTCTGTTGGGGAATGATGATTGCTTCAAAATGGGATTGGTTGGATGTATTGGGGCCAGTATGGTAGTTGGTTGGCAGCGACAAGTCCCTATCAGAAAGGGGCCCGTGTAGATGGCAGCTTGGTGGGGTGAAGAACCTGCTGTTTAAGGATGGGTTATAGTCACGGATCTATGCAATATTTTTGGATGACGGTTCGTAACACCAATGCTGAGGCATATAGTTCCTGCCATCCTCCTAGTCATCCTTTCAGAGAAGTCTTGTGGGTATATTTTGGTGCTAGTATGGTAGTTGGTTGGCAGCGACAAGTTGCTATCAGAAAAGGACCCCGTGTAGATAGCAACTTCTCTGTGTTTTATGTCTCTGTGTTTTCTGACTCTATGTCTCTATGTCTCCATGGTTCTGTGTCTCTATGTCTCTGGGAAGAGAGGTGTAGCCGCGACTTATGGTTATATTTTGGGCGGATCAGTGGAATAAGCGCAAGTAAAGTCCCCAACAGCACGAAGCGCCACTGAGAAAGTCTCTTCGCTGTTCAAGGCCTCCTGCGGAGCCTTGTCTGCTTTGGAACCTGCTCCGGAACCTCCTCCAAAACTTCCTCATGGACCTGCCCCGCAACCTTCCCCCGAACCTTCTCTGGAACCTGCCCCGGAGCTCCGGAACCGTTTGCCCCGCCTCCTCACCCCCGCCTCAGCCCTGCAGCCGCCGTCGGAACTTCAGCCGGCTTTCGTCCTCCCCCCTTCTCAGCTGCTTTAATCTTATACCATTCAGTTTCAGTTGTTTTACAACTCTAGTTCAATTCTATTTGATTACCAATTTAATTTTGATATGTTGATTAATTCAAATTTGATTTGAACTCGATTCTAATTCATTGCAAATGTATTTCTAATCCAATACAAATTGAATTCTAGGGTTTTGCTGGGGGTGTGATTTTAAGAAAACACCTTTGAGAAAGCAACACATAATTGACATCCTGAATGACCTAATTCTAATTCAATTTCATTTGAAATCAAACTCAAATCTATTTTAACATACTGTAATTAAGTGTTAATTCTATTTCAGTTATCATTCAAATTAGTTTGAATGTTGAGTAACTTCCATACATAGTACATTTAATTGGATTTCAGTGCAAATTTATTTCTAGTTAATGGTTACTGCTTTTCAAGTTAATTTCTATGCAGTTTCTGTTTAAATCTAATATCATTCAATTTTTCTAGTTATGTCTTTTATGCAATTCTAGTTTGATTCTAGAGAGTGCGTATTGCTTGAACGCTTTGTATATAATTTATGTGTTGCTTTCTTAGGGGTTGTCTTCTTAGAAGCACACCCACAGCAAAGCCCTCTCTCTAGAATAAAGTCAGAGTTAAATGAGAATTCACTTTGCATTGAATTAGAAAGAAATTGGCGCTGAACTAGAACCGAATTAAAATTAGTTTAGAATCCATCAAAACTAAATTCAATCAAACATGTATTTAAGTAGAATTGTAAACACCTCAAAATTGAATTGCATAAGTTTTAAACTAGCTGAAGCCAATAATTAATTACAAATATATTGAAATGTAAACAAAACTAAATGTGAATTAACATAAGACTAGGTTAGAACTAATCACGAAAGGTAGCGGTTACGCTACCTGAGTTTTCCTT